GAGAGGACACACTATGGGAGAGAGGAGACACAAAGTTAGTGATGTGTAATGGTGGCATATAGAAGCATAGGGAGAGAGAGGAGAGGGGAGGAGAGGGGAGGGGAGGAGAGGAGAGTAGGAGGGGAGGGGAAAGAAACTCAGAGCATCATGGGGCCCCCAGCAGCCTAGGCCTATAGCAGCATAACTAAGGGAGGGCTCAGGGTCACCTGATCCAGCCCTAACTATAAGCTTTATCAAAAAGGAACGTCTTAAGTCTAATCTTAAAGGTAGAGAGGGTGTCCGCCTCCCGAACTGAGACTGGGAGTTGGTTCCATAGGAGAGGAGCTTGATAGCTAAAGGCTCTGCCTCCCATTCTGCTTCTGTGGACTCTAGGAACCACAAGTAAACCTGCACTCTGAGAGCGAAGTGCTCTGTTAGGATGATAAGGCTCTACGAGGTCTTTAAGATACGATGGAGCCTTGTCATTAAGGGCTTTGTATGTTAGGAGAAGGATTTTAAATTCTATTCTGAATTTTACAGGGAGCCAGTGGAGAGAAGCTAATATGGGAGAGATATGATCTCTCTTGCTAGTTCCTGTCAGTACTCTGGCTGCAGCATTTTGGATTAACTGGAGGCTTTTTAGGGAATTATTGGGACATCCTGATAGTAAAGAGTTACAGTAGTCCAGCCTGGAAGTAACAAATGCATGGACCAGTTTTTCAGCATCACTTTGAGACAGGATGCTCCTGATTTTTGCAATATTGCGTAGGTGAAAGAAGGCAGATCTAGAGACTTGGTTTATGTGTGATTTAAAGGACATATTCTGATCAAAGATGACTCCAAGGTTCCTCACAGTAGTACTGGAGGCAAGAGCTATGTCATCTAAAGTAACTATATGATTAGACAGCAGATTTCTAAGGTTTTCAGGCCCAAGCACAATAACTTCAGTTTTGTCAGAGTTTAGAAGTAAGAAGTTGCAGGTCATCCAGGCCTTTATGTCTTTAAGACATGCTTGAAGTTTGACCAGCTGACCTGATTCATTTGGCTTCATAGATAAATATAACTGAGTATCATCTGCATAGCAATGGAAATTTATGTTGTGCTTCCTGATAATATTGCCTAAAGGGAGCATTTATAAAGTGAAGAGTATTGGACCTAACACAGAGCCCTGTGGAACGCCGTGACTAACTTCAGTTTGTGTGGAACATTCGTCATTAACATGAACAAATTGAAATCTTTCTGATAAATAAGATTTGAACCAACTTAGCGCAGTTCCTTTAATCCCAATAACATGTTCAAGTCTCTGCAGTAAGATGCTGTGATCAATGGTGTCAAAAGCAGCACTGAGACAAGTCCTTTGTCTGAGGCTAGGAGAAGATCATTGGTGACTTTCACCAATGCGGTTTCTGTACTATGATGGACTCTAAATCCTGACTGAAAATCCTCAAACAAATCATTCTTGTGCAAGTGGTCACATAACTGCTTTGCAACAGCTTTTTCAAGGATTTTGGAAATAAATGGGAGATTGGATATTGGTCTATAATTAGCTAGGACACCTGGGTCAAGAGTAGGCTTTTTGAGTAGAGGTTTAATTACTGCAAGTTTAAAAGCCTGTGGAACATAACCTGTTAATAGAGAGAGGTTAATCAGATCTAGTATGGATGTGTTGATTAGGGGAAAGACGTCTTTGAGCAGCCTGGTCGGGATGGGGTCCAGGAGACATGTTGATGATTTAGATGAAGCAATTGTTGAGGTCAACTCAGAGGGATCTATAGGGGAGAAGTAGTCCAAGTATAAATGAGGTCTTACAGATGTTTCTAAAGCCATTGTAGTAGATGGCACATCTGCGAGAGCTGTGGGAGTGGTTCGACCCATTTTTTCTCTAATAGTTGTGATTTTATTTGTAAAGAAGCTCATGAAGTCATTGCTGCTGAGATCTAAGGGAATGTTAAGCTCAACAGCACTGTGGCTCTTTGTCAGCCTGGCTACAGTGCTGAAAAGAAACCTGGGGTTGTTCTTATTTTCCTCAATCAGTGATGAATAAAATGCGGTTCTGGCACTATGAAGGGCTTTCTTATATGTTATTAAACTATCTTTCCAGGCTATGAAAAACTCTTCTGACTTAGTGGAGCGCCACCTCCTTTCCAAGTAGTGAAGTAAACTCCCATAAGACTGAGAAACTGAAAGACTAAACAGTCTATGCTTCAGTAACTATGCAGAGTGGTACTGAAGATCAAGTTAGCTGATGTTTGTTTACAGCTTCCATAGATACTGAGCCATGAAACTCAAAACGTGAACATATAGTGCAGCAGTCAGGTGTGCCAACAGGATGTGGTGTTTCAACTGCCCTCATTTCTGAGCGGTGTGTAGGAGGCAAAAGCTGGTGATAGAGAAAAAGCTTATGTAAGAAGTTAACTAAATTATGTTATCAAAACAGGGTAAGATGGGGTGGTGGGAGACGTGGAATTGTGCCAGTGACCGTTGGGAGCCGTTTGCACTTCCTCATTTCCATGTAAAACTGATAACTGAATTATTGTTGGCGAGTTGATCTGGCTTTCTTCACAATGCTCAAACATACTGCCTGTTCAGCAAATGACGAAGCATCAAAAAACTTAAAACTTCACAAATGTAGTATTTATTAAACACCAATTATACTAGATTACCTTATACTGTATGGTGCCCCTGCTATCCTGACCACATTCTGTAAATATCTTTGCAGACACAGTGTCCTGGAACAGTACCGTGCCAGCAGTAGCTTCCTCTGCGGTGTCCCGTTGCCATTGACACCTTACACCACAATTTGCATATGGCAAAATCGTGAACACAAATGTTATCTCACTGAGCATTCTGTCTTGTGCCTTGGAGGTCATCTTATCTGGATACCTGATTCTAGGGGGAGTAGCCACAGAGCTAAATCATTTCCTTTACAGCTTAGGCAATTTGTGTAAGTGTGGACTGATCAATATCATAGCTCTTTTGAGTGTGCTTTGTAACCCTTTTCAAATTTATGCAAATCAGCAGTTGTGTTCATCTTTCTGCAAGGCCTCATTCACATCTTGTGAACAGCAAACTAAATTGCTTTCATTTTTATAAATTAAAGTAGCTCTGGCCCACACTCCAGACATTTCGCTGATTGAACTCAGGGTTGCTACATCCTTACTCCAGTTAGCGTTTGTTGATGCCATTAGGTTAGGGTTTTACATTCTTCCCCCCAACCTAATGAATATTTTAGTGATGTATTTAAAATGAACAAAATGATAAAAGATGTTTTAAAATAGGTGGGTTTCTTTCAGCATTGTAACTTAGATGAAGATCTGACCAAATTTTAAGACAACCGTCTTTTTAAATGTAGGGAATTCCAAAGGATTTACTTACTTTTTTCTGCCACTTTATGTAAAAAAAAAAAAAAAGTGACTCAAAAATGGACTGTATTTTATATAGCGCTTTCCTCACAGTGTGTTACACTGGCCAAAGCGCTTTACAGGAGATTATACACCATTCACTCAATGATGTAACACTATAGTTGAACATGAAGAAATAAACAAACACGTGTCCAGATGACTATTTCGTGTCAAATGATTCTTGGTTCCATTTTGCAAAGAAATGTGTGCTTAAGTTAAAGCAACATGTTTACAGATAAAAATGATGTTTTACGTTTTTAGTGAAAGCACTTGATGACACAGATATGAAAAACAAACGCACTGTGATTACTGAGCAGGTGTGCATCACAAAAACGCGTCAGCATCACAAAAACGCGTCAGCATGTAGTGATATTCAGAGACGGTGAATTTCCCTTTGGTGGCTTAGATCTTCTACTGGGAAAGCACAGTTACACTGTTTGTGCTTTGTAGCTGTACATTTGTCCAGACACAGTGCTGTCCTAGGCTGAACACTTTCCTCAGTATTTTACAGTACACTGCATATTCATGTATATCAAATGATTCCATAACAGACGGCCAATCATCGTAACAACACATACAACATTATGTAGTTATTCATTTTACTACATCTTAGACTGTCAAATGTTAACATTCTCCATGCAAAATGAGAACAGTTTTTTTTTTTTTTTTATCATCAAAATGTCCCAAAAAACTACAATAACTAGTTTGGTAAAAGAAAAGCATTTTGATATATTCAATTTAGATGATTAATGAATTTTATGTAACAACAGGCAACAACATTTAAAGACCTAGTGATCCTACCTTGGCCATATTCAACCCAGTCTGCCAACACTACTTGAATTACTACATGGTGCAACCAGAGGAGAAACAAAGAAACACTTGTTGCCAACACATTAACTAAAAAAAAAAAAAAAAAAAAAACTTCTGTAAACACACCAAACTGCAATGAAACACATCTGTAAAAATGAGCTGGCTCTACAGTGACATCATCAAAAGGCTACACAGGAATCGATATGCTTGTGTAACTCAGACACTGTCCTGCACAGAGAGGGTTAATTTGACCATAGGTAAACGGTCAGTAGGTAAATAAAAGTGCAACTGGCTGCAGCTTTTTCTCAGTCTGCTGACGGTGGGCAAAGCAACAGTGCTAGTGTTAGTCAGTACAAACAAACAGTAAGTTAATGTTTGATGGATGGATGGCAAAGGCTAATAACTATAACATCAAACAAAGGGGCAGAACTTTACTTATGCAAGAGAAAAGACATTATAATTAGTGAGATACGAAATACCCAAAATAAACAAAGTGCAGTTGCCTTGTTTTTAGCCCATTGAGTGTGATGGTTCAGCTCATGGCTGACCTGTTGCTGATCCCTTCCTGACACTGCTAATTTAGACAGCGTAATACAGGACAATAGAAACATCGTGTATTTGTTTTATATACTAATAAAGGGCAGTATGATAAAAAAAAAATGACTAACTTCAATGCCAATCCCTTATTTTACGATGAATTATGTTCAGTATTCAGCATTTTCAGGCATTCTGTCGGAGCTGGTTCATACTGTGAGGAAATCCCCTCACACAGATGAGACACTGAATTAGCCAGGCTTACTGTCCATTGGACAAACACAACTGCTGTGATACCTCCTTCTATATGGCCTTTACATGGTGCACTCTGACTAGTGGTGTAACCCATTATTCAGTGTGTTTGAGCTTATTTTAGGGCTGTAACAGAAATATCAGCTAGCCTCTCCAGTGTTTACATCCCCAGCTGTGACATACCGATCAGCCTTTACTTTGGTCTAGAGTGGACTCTAAGGAACTCATTGAGCTAAATCCTCACAGTGCTGAATCCATCACTACAGGGACACTAGTCAGTTTTTGAAGGCCCCGGAGCGGCTGGCTTTACTAATGAAGTTCTTGAGCAGGTCGTGGTCCATGTCTGCAAAGGCCTGGGTCTGCGTGACAGCTGTTAGATGGTTGACACAAAACTTGAAGCAGAACTCCTCCAGGTCCTAAAATGAATGAGGTCTGTCGGGTCATTGCTGAAGAGTATAACTGACTAGCTTTTAGCTACTGTGACGGTTCCCACCACTGTGGAGTCTGACTGTGTGTCAGCTTACCCGCGCCTCATACTTGACAGCAGCAGAGAGCAGAGTGATGGCATTCTCCTCAGAGATGCCTCTTTTGATTGCTTCCTGGCACAACCTCTTCAGCCTCGTCTCTCGGTAGAATGTAGCTAAGTCTAGCAACCCTGCACACACACAAGGGCAACAACCAGGTGAGTGTGTTTAGGACCTGGGCATGTATTTCATTCCTAGAGCTCTCAGTGTGTAAAGGACTTGTGGTCCATGTCTCGGCTTACCAACAGCATCCTCTGGTGGCAGGTTAATAGTGTCTGTGTAGAGATACTCCAGGAAGGCTCTATACACCAGGTATGAGAACTGGTGAATTTCTATGGCATTGTCATCTGTTTCGTTCAGCAGTGCACGAAAATGCTCACACCTAAAGTGGAAAGAGAACAAAAAAACAAAACAAAACAAAAAAAAAAAAAACACAATATACATATTTAATCTAGGTCAAGTCCTACTCTTCAGGTCATTCCTGAGGCAGACAGGCACTTTGCCAACAATGATAGCATCAGTATTTTTCCATATTTGATCCTTTTGGCACACTGCATTAGGAATATTGACTATCATGTTTCCTTTTCTTCGACAAATTTCCCCTCACTGTTAATCTCTCAAAACACTGCCCCTTCTTATGTTTTCCTCAGTACAGGGCTGAGCAAACAACTGAATTTTAATACTCTTAAGTACATCTCACATCTGCCATTTGCATGGGATCTTGCCAAAGCAAGCCGTTTTGTGCTGTTACAGGTTTGTGTGAGGATGTGCACTAAGGTTGTCACCGCAGACTCTCTGGCTCCTTCCTACTGACAGTGCAAAAGACCAAGGGACTGGAATGCAGATATATTGTGCCCAAGTGTGGTTATGAAAAGATAAACAGGAAACAGTAGATCTGTCTTTGCTTCCCTGCAACACTGACGGGAAAGATGGAGTTTAAACACAGGCAACACAGAAAATACTAGGGATTTGATAAATTGATTAATAAATGGCTAAGGGTGTTTGTTGTCATGAGACCCACACAATTAACATACTGATCTGTTTGTCTTGAGTTAATGTTTCTATAACTAACAGTCACACAATTCTGCAAAGTCAACATGTGTTTGTGTTTCCCTGAAAGCCCCAGTGTGGTGTTCACTCTCCATGATCAAGAGCAACCTCTGAATGGAGAAGCAGGCTGCTCACTGTACATGTCAAAATGTCATGTGACTGGATAGAAACTGTGTTTTGGTTATTTTCTCTAAACCTCCATTTAACCGTCATCAAGTCTAAAGGTGAAACAATGTGATTTTTTTCCCCCCATTTGCAAAATTATTGTAACAACCAAGCAGTTCTAGTTCACATTTAAACTTTGGATTTTGAGGCTCCACATTTTCTGTACCTGATTTTCAGCAGGGCTTTGTGAACATGGATGCACTTCCCATCAACCAAGAACTTCAGGTCTGAAATCTCTGGGCTGTCAAACTCCTTCTTCAAAGACTGGGCAACAGTTAGGTAGTTGTCAGCATCTGGCAATAAAGAGAAGGCATCTGTTTTACAGTCCTCTAACAACTGCTGTATTTCACTGTAAGATACTGTGGAGCACACCTGTGTACAGCAAACCCAATTACATTCTTTTATTAAAATCCCAGAAATGTTGTCTCTAAACCATCCAGATAAGATGACCTCTAGTAGAAATTATAAAAAAAGGAATTCTAGGTGATCTCAATTTTAATTGGAATCACTATTTGCTCCTTGAACACTCCAATTAAAACAGACAGAGAAATTAGTGCTGATGTTTTCAGTGGCTTGTTAGTTAAGTTGATTTTTTTCAGAGGGCTGCATAACAAAGAAGTTCTGGGGCTTTTCTTCAGTTTTAGACATCTCTGAAGTCCAACACCAGGCTTACCTACGGACAGGAGGTGCCACGTGACTGCAGGCGTGGCAAAACAGGCAAACACATCGTCAGTGCTGCTAAAATGTGTGAGGTGGGGGCTGAGCACAGCTTGACCTCGACACTGACCCCACATCATAACCTGCCCGCTCTGGGTCTTGGCAGCTGACGTGTGGCTGGTGTGACATGTAGCCACCTCCACCATCCTTGTGAGAAAAGCAGAATTAAATCCTTTCAGCACTACTAATGTAGAGCCTTTTATGCAGATGGCATGTTACAGACAAATGAAAGCAGGTTTCCACAGCAGGCAATACTTCCCTAATAATACGTCTCTGGAGTCAGCAATCCATCTCTTATTACTCTGTGATATTAAACCATATATACACACACCTTTGAGGCATTTAGCATCTAAATATTTCATTTCTCAGGTCTCGTCATGCAGCCACCACTGACCTGTTGTGGTGGCAGAGTTAAAAACGGAGTACTAACCTCTCCTTATCTGTGTTTATTGGAGTCGGGAGAGCTTGGTTAGTCTTATTGCCTGTTCCCAACTGCCCGTATGAGTTGGCTCCCCAGGCATAAACAAACCCTTCATCTGTAAGTGCCAATGTATGTGCATATCCACAGGCAACCTGTATATGGATGAGAGAGCATAATTAAGCTGAATGTTAGCTGAAATAAATAATTAACAGTGAGAACTTTGCAAGATTTATTATCCTTTAGGCTTTTACCTGGACAATGGTGACACCTTGGAGAGCTGCGATCCTACATGGGGTCTGCTGATTTCCATTGTTGCCCAGTCCTAGCTGTCCATTGCAATTGTAGCCCCAACCATAGACCTACAAACGTAGAACAAACTCTGAACAAACTGTACACACTACATCAAGACATTAGTCAGGGATGGTTTTCAATGTTTTATCTGCATATATTTTAAATATTTGCAGATAGAAGTTGATGTAAAAACATAAGCATTTTCTCTACATTTTCTGTGCTGTATATTCTAAAATGTCCAACTGCAAGAAACATGTTTACTGCAAACAATGTGTATTTAGTGTGTGATCAACACTGCCTTCTTGTTGAAGAATACACAGCAACGTTTAGTTCAAATCATCTTCCTCTTTAAAAAAGGGTAAAAGCATAAAAACTTAGCCATCCTTCTAATATAAACCCATTCATTAGCATCTTGTACTAAGATGCTGTAGGCATTTACATTTGCCAATCCCCTTAAAAGCAATTATGGGCTGCTGAATGCCAAAAAGTGGACTTATTCATTTGTAATATCTGCATACTAATGTGACCAATTACCTCCCCATTGTCCAGCACAGCCATAGAGCAGAGCTGACCACAGGCTATGTTAACTGCCACTTTGCTCTGCAGGCAGCTGCTGACGCGACGTGGTGTCGGCTGGTTGGCAGTAGAGCCCGAACCAACCTGGCCTGAGTTGTTGTAACCCCATGCATATACCTAAACACAGAGACAAAAGGTTTACAGTCCAAACAGTTACACTGATGAAGCAGAAGGAAGCTACATTAAGGACATAACTGAGGATGGATTACCTCTCCATCAGTTGTGAGGGCAATAGTATGGTGGGAGCCACAGGCCACCTCTATCACTCTCTTGCTAATGAGGTTGGTGGACACCAGAGCAGGGGTCAGCCCGTGGTTAGTGGTCCCATTGCCCACTTGACTGTAGCCATTGTGGCCCCAAGCAAACACCTCTCCATCTAGACAGCATCAACCAAATGTTTATTCATGTTCACCGTGGTTAATAGCTGTTGTTGTTAAATGACTGGCATTCTAGTCATCTGCATGTGTCGTCTTGTTCGTCAGCGATGCTAGTCCTCTCTGGGACTGAATTACCTGCAGTGGCGATAACCACATGTGGTCCGGTTCCATAGCTTAGGGACACAATCTTCTTTCCACACAAGGCATCAATCCTGCGAGGCTCAATAGTGCTTTGAAGGTCCCCAATCCCTAAACAGCCACAGCAGTTAGTGCCCAGAGCAAAGACCTGCAAAAACCAAGTATCACTGTTCAGATGCTTCTCATATTAATAAAAGGCATAAATGCTACATTCTAGTCTTTACTAATATATAGTTTCTGGCAATTCTGTGTCAAGTGATTAGCTGTGTCAAGTAATTAATGGAATTATCACTATTCAAAGCCAAATTAAACCAATCTGTAAGATATTTCAGGAATATGCTTGCAGAAGTACTTTGACATTTGATTTCCCCAATTGTTTGTGAGCTATATGGAAATTAAAAATAAATAAATAAACAAAAGTAACTGTGAACACAGGCCAGGTTGAACATTTGCAGCCAAATCCACTAAAATACAGCTTTTGTGTCACAAATGACAGTTCCCAAACAAAAAGGTAAGCGTGGAAAGATGAGGCATGCTCTGCACCTTTCAACAGGATAAAAATGGAGCTTGCTTTGGTATTAGGCCTGTATAGCTAAAGATAGCCTCATTCTATCTGCTTATCCTTGTGCCTGGAAGTTTACCCTGTATCAAGAAGAGATTGAGGATCCTGCTACATTCTTCTATCAACTTCGAAAGGGAAAATACTCAGACTAATATTATGTAAGGAGATTAAGCCTGTCAAGCTTGGTAACACATCTTAATGTAAATTAGAGGAGTCACCCTTGAACATCCAAATGTTACCTCATCATTAACTGTGACATAGAGGGCTTCATTTGCAGCACTGCCAAAGACACAAGCTTGTCGGATGAGTTGCAGTTCCTCAGGAGGAAGGAGAGCAAACACTGGCCACTTGCCCACGTCCAGCATACTAATCAGCTGTAGAAGGACAACACCGTTAAACAGATGGAAATAGGAGCTATCAAGAGATGTTGATTAGAAAATATTGTGTACAAAAGCTTTAAGTTTGGAAAAAAGGCCTTCAATGAAATACACAAATGAAAATATGCATGGTGCATTATTCATAAGACCTATTGTAATGTGTGTATATTCCTTTACCTAAGCATTATACTTTGGGTATTATTTGAAAGAAAAATAGAATAATACACAACAGAAAAATGCTGAGTTAGTCAAGCAGGAATATGTTGAGGTTGTCATGTTAAAGCCACATACTGTAGATACACACTACCAGTGCACATACAGCAGCAGGGGAACTGAGTCCACTGTTGTGGACAGATTAAAACATGTATGCATACTGGCTGAGATAAACCCATTAACCTGTGTTTACTGAGAGAAGGAGTGAAGTCCAGGTAATCTTACTGATACAGTACTTTTCTGTGATGTAACATATCTAAAGGCTGACACAATATTTCCAGTACAATACCTGAACCACATGTTTAAGAAAGCACTCTTCTATTTAACGGATATGATGATGTTCTCAGGGTGGTACTGTATAACAATGGGTGGGTCTGAAATTGGCTGTCTGGGCCTCTGCATTTAATAATTTAATAGCTTGATTCGGTTATTTCCGAGAAAGACCGGCTCATAAAAATCTAATTGTCTACTTGTGTAAATCGGCCTCCCTCTAAACTCATTTGACTGGATAAAAGGCACCAGAAGGAAATAACATTAGATAGCAATTCTCGGCTGAATTCTAAGCACAAGGGGCGCATCTAGATCACAATTAACAAGCTCCAAAGTTTCAAAATGCTCTTAAAATTACCCGACCGTGAGTTACTGCCGCGAAAGTCTCTCTGTGCACAAAGGAATGTACATAAAGTTAGCATGATCCCTGACCTAACAAACGGAAACCCTGCTGGACCATTAGGGATTTAAGATGTTCAACGCTTCAAATCAACAAATGCCAAAGAGGTTACAAACAAACAACACAAAACACGCGCTTATGTTGTGTTGCAATACTTCCAGGCTGAGCTTTCTAGCTAACAACATAAAAGGTGCTAATGTAGCATCTTACGTTAGCGGCAGGCAGCTATCAGCTAAAACTGTAACCATCTAACAAAAACCAATTAACATAATTAGCTTACGGACTGTTCCTGCTGCTGGAAGCCGCAGACATATCAATGTTGACGTACCTCGCTGTTGTTTCAGTTTTGTCGTTCGCGACGTTGTTTTCTATTTGACTATGACACTGATAAGTAACTGATAAATATTTGGCAAACTGAATCATCACTTCAGTCTGGTCTGGTAGAGCATAGCATAGCTTCACATCAGTAGCACCTCGCTATAGTAAGCGTTGACCCCTACATTCATGGATGTATTATAGGAGTACGGCTACAACACGGAATGGAATAGATACACAACACCACCTTACTTCCTGTAGTTAGATGGTGTGTTCACGGAGAGTCGGAGCTGGGAACTTCTGATGTTTATTATGGGCAAAAAATATCAAACGACTTCCCTTGTAAAAATCTGTTCCTTTAGTTAAATAATAATAGACTTGATAACAGATAAATCGTCTTTTGTGAGGCAAATATCTGCATATAAAAGGTTCTAAACAAATACATTATTTTCAATTTTAAACAAAATCGCTCCAATAATCGGTGGTTATTTCATTTGAAAGCAGAACATTTGTGGAAATTGCTAATATAATCATTTATACAAAATATACAGTTACAATAAATAAAATGGTTCTAATAAGTATTTCCATTTGTACAGTCAGTGATGGACTTGCATTGGTATAAGGGCACATCCCAGCTGTCATTATTTAGTCATATTAAAATATTTGTATTTTTTAATCAGTTTTGTAGAAGCCTGATTGCCAGCCGGGATTGGCTCCGGCCCCCCCCCCGTGACCCCGTTCAGGGACTAAGCGGTAGAAAATGAATGAATGAATGAATGTATTCTTGGTATAAAACAGGTCTTGTAAGCTCTATAATATTTTCCTTTCTGCAATTACATGTGCTGCCTTTCACCATGTACTTACAATTAGTATTATCAGGAAAAACAATACAAATTGTGGAAGAGGAATTATTCACACTCCAAATCGCATTAACTATTGAGGGAGAAACATCACAGTACTCCTTTTAAATGTCCAGCAGGTGGAGCTATAGAAGGTCTGATGTTAGCGTTTGACAAACTGTACGGACACTCTTCTGATGTTATAATATTTTATTTGAAAATAAAGTCATATGTGTTGGTAAGTATAATTTGTGCTTTTACAAAAAAAAACTACTAAGTAATAATCAAATACATACAGGTTGTGGTTTAGTAATTATTCTGCTACACTGTAAGTCTAAGAGTTTGGCACTGCAACATATTGTGAAATGTAGAGGTGTTCAAAGAACAAAGAAATGCTATAGTGGATTTTCTTAAAATTAGGCACCATGATAGTGGATTGTGTGGTCGATGCACTGCCAAACTCTTGAGATTTTCTTTATAGATAGGAGGTAGAACCATAGAAAAAAGTCCAGCATGTGCCACAGGACATTCTACCTTACATAGATAGATAGTAGTGGAGGATTTTATATCCATCCGTCCATTTTTCTCCACTTATCCGGGACCGGGTCGCGGGGGCAGCAGTCTAAGCAAAGATGCCCAGACTTCCCTCTCCCTAGACAC